GTTACTGATTAGTTCTTTGACCTTGAGCAAGGCCTTTGGCCTTGCCAGGTCCCACCTTCCCTGTCTGTACTGTAAGGGAGTGAGATGGTCAGAAAGGGCATAGAAGGACTGCTTTTGTCTTTATTGAAAAAGGTAGTCTCATCTAGTTCTTGGAATTTCTATTAGTCTATTATATCCTGCAAGGTTCTTTTTATTTTTAAAATTTTTTTAGAGAGGTTTTTGGCTATAGGGCGCGTGCGCTCGCCAGACAGACAGAGAGAGACAGAGAGACAGAAAGTGAGAAATCACCCCCCAGGGGGGATGGTCACGCTGCAATCCCTTCTCCTCCATTCTCCTCTCAGGATCTTGGGCACACACACACACACGCATGGCTTGAGATTTAAACCACCGGGTCCGGGATGCAAACTGCAGTCGACTATATGGGAGTCCAGCGACATAGCGATTACACTAACTGCTGGTTCCCAAGGTTGTTTAAATATATGAACAGTTGTGTGACTTACACACATTGGAAGGTGACAAGCCGTTGGGAGACAACTTTAAGCTCTGTTATCTATGTTGGGGATGAGCTGACGTGCCGATGTATTTAGTGGTGTGGTCTGGATTATGTTTTTATCGTAAGTAGATTACCAAAGCACACAATAACTGATGTGGGCTGTCTGTCTTCCTTCCTTCTTTCCTTCCTTCCTTCCTTCCTTCTTTCCTTCCTTTCTTCCTTCCTTCCTTGCTTTCTTAATAATTTAGTCAAAAAGCCACTGGGCAGGTCTGAGCATGGAGGTCCAGTGGGGCCCATAAGCAAATACATGGCAGGAAATGGAAGTCAGACTTCTCACTGCCAAAGAAGAGATTTACAAATAGAAAAAAAGGGGACAGCTAGAAAGAACCCTGTGCTGTAGATTGGAATTTGAGTTATCAGTGTGAATGTATGGATTTCAACATGTGTAAGCTTTATATACATAGAAATTTCAATATAGAAATCATGCACATGTCAAATTATGCGAATAACTGTTAATCATTCACAAACACACACACACACACACACACACACACACACACACACAAACTCACTCGTTTCCTAACTTGAAAGAGCCCTAAATACAGTGACAGCCTGGTAAATATGAGTGCATGTACCACCCAGATCTTAGTTTCTGTTTTCCTTCCCTTCCCTTCCCTTCCCTTCCCTTCCCTTTTTTCCTTGGAGATATTTTTACCCTAAGATTTGTGCACTCATGGAGAAAGGAATCGCCCACTGAGGAGATGGCTATGTTATAGTTTCTTCTCTTCCCTTCTCCTCTCAGGATTTTGGGCACATATACGCGTATAGCCGGTGTGAGGTTCACGTCGCTGGGTCTGGGGCTTGAACCATGGCTGGCCATGTGATAATCCAGCACTTTAACCACTCTGCTGTCTGCTGGCCTGAGGTCCAGTCTTTGCTAAATGGAACCACAGGTCTTTCTTTTTCGTAAGTCGAACCACAGGTCTTTGAAAGAGTGTCTGGTTCTAGGGCCGGAGGAGGGAAGTTCCAAGATGAGCACTGAATGTCTGGATGTGTCAGAAGACAAAGAACTTCTCAAAATGCAGCAGATCAATGCCCACAGCACACAAGGACTCTCGCTAACCTCTCGTGAAACCTGGGTCAGTTTGCACACCAACCTGGGGAGGACGGTTAACAATCACATCCTACTGCATGATCGAGGCCTGCAGGGGGCCACACTAATATAAATAAAGAAGTGCATGAATAAGTGCGAGGAAGAGAAAGTGGTCTGATTCATAGGAGGAATGCTGGCATTAGATCGCCATTTGGCAGTCATCAGAGTAATGATTATTTCAGTTAAGAATGTCAGTGGATGCTAAATCCAGTAAGTAAAAGTGGATGAGGACCAGGTTATTTATTTGACCATAAAGTATCTGTCCACAAATTCTTATTCATTAAAAGGGAAAACATAGGGGCCAGCAGATGGGGTAGCCAGTAAGGTGCCAGACTCTTGCATGGCTGACTGTGGTTTGAGTCTCATACCTGGTGGCTTGAAACTCAGGCATCTGTGTGCGTGCATAAAATTCTAGGAGGAATATGGAAGAAAAGAGATTGTGGTGTGGCCATCCTCCTGGGAGTTGATGTTTCACTTTCCCTCTCATCATCTCTGTCTCTGTCTCTTTCGGACAAGTCTACACACCTATCAAAAAAAAAATTAAGTGGACCTACAGTAGCTTTACTGGAGAGACTTAAGTGATGGAAGGTCCAGTCACTAGTGATGGGACAAACTGACATGTATGTTGCTTGCTGGGATGCAATGAGGACACAACATTGTTTCCAAAAAATGTCATCCTTGGATCTTCTCATGAGAAACATCAGGAATTCTGCTCAGGGACTTTTTCAAGACAATTATGCTGCTGTGTCCGACAATGTAAAGGCATGAAGGTCAAAAATAAGGTTCTAGATCAAAGTAGACTGGGAGGGGTGACAGCTGAGCAAAAAGTGTGACCCCAGAAGGGATCCTTTGACTAGAAAGAAGCTTGTGGGGCAGTTAGCCCCACTTAAATGGGCTCTGTGGGTTAAGGGTGGACAGGAACTCTTTGAACTGTGCATACAACATTTCTGCAGTTTTGAACTCTAGAAATAAAAAGCAAAGATATATTAGTAGAAGAATGTTGAGCTTTTAGTTTCCATTTTATTGTACTCAGTTAAAAGGAATCATTTCTGAATTCTTTTTTATTTTCAATTTGATCTGTGTAAGAATCTTACAGGATACAATAATTAAATTTAACTTCTAGTTTTAGATTTTTGTGAAGCTCTTGTACAATATGGTTTCATGAAATCTAGACTTTTCTGGACGTGGTGGTAGGGTTTGTGTGCCTACACAGATTCACTCAAGTTTGAGAAAACAATCTAAACCTTAGAATGTCCCAGGGCCATCATTATGAAAATGATAATGATAGTGAGGCATTCATTTTATTTTATTTTTTTACTTATTTTTAAGAGTTATTTAATTTAATTTTATTTGTTTATTTTAATTTCACTAAAGAGGGACAGAGTGAGGGAGAGAAGGAATGAGAGAGAGAGGGAAAGTGAGAGAGCAATCCACCAGGTCCCGGACTTGGACCACAGTCAGCCATATGGGAGTCCAGCGCCCTTAACCACCATGCCACCTGCCGGCCCCGAAGCCTTCATTTTAGATTAATGGGAGTATGAGTTGGTGTTCCACTCGGGCTCACATCCTAACTCCACCATTTATTCTGCGTACTTTGAGTAAGTGAACTAACGTTTATGTTTATCTCCTATAAGAGTGTAGGTAATAGCAGTACCTATCTCATGGAGTTCTTGGGAGGACCACATGGTTAATACCAATAAAGTACTTAGGAGAGTGCTTGGTATAGAACGATTGCTATGCTACTTTTAGGCTTGACTAATATTATTATTATTGCTGCTTCTGCAACTACCACTTTTGCTGCTTCTGTAGTATCTATTGTTTATGTGAAGTCTAGAGAAGCTACTCCAGAGCGAAGGCATTTGATAGTTCATTGAACTTTAGGCCCTCCTATATTCCAGTGCTGGGAAGGGAGTGTTGCCATTGATTTTGAGTACTCGCACTGTGGACTGGTCCTGTCAATTGCTTCTCTTATCCCCAAAGTCAGCCCTCCAACCTCAAGCAGACCTCAGGGTTCCTTGCCTGCTGTAGAGAAGGGAAGGCACACATTATAGATGCCAAGAAGAGCAGTGGAGACAAAGACCGGATCAAAGCAAAATGCAAAATAAGAGAGGAGAATCAGAGAAGCAAGATTCAAGAACAAAAAAAAAAACGTTTATTTTGGCAGAAATACCTAGGAGATATAGTGACTGTAGGCCTTGTTTTGAGTTCACATACTGAACCTCCACATGTTTACAAGTGTAAGTAAATGTATGCACTGAATGGAGGTAGCAAACACAGAATGTTCCTGAAGGCCCGAGCTGCACTGCTACCCAGTATTGTCCTCAGTGCATTCAGCACCCAGCCGCCTGCTCTGGGCTTTGTGTCCTGCATCCTGTCCCCAAAGGGCTTCCAGTCAAACTCATGACATATTACACAGAATACTTAACGTTAAGCATTATGCATTTTTATTTATTTATACTCTGCCCTCTCCTTAAAAGGGTTTGAAGAACGCATTGAATTGTCTGTTATTCTGGTAAGTGCTAAATTGTCCAGAATAGACATGCATTAACAAAGTAGAAAATGAAAGGGGAGACCAACTGATGGAGTGGGAGAAGGCAGAGTTTTCAACCAGGGCCAAAATAAATCGGTAATGGATGACTAATCTAAAAGGAGATATATTGACAGTGGACAAGGGGAAATGTTTCAGAGTGTTTTCTTTTGTCTTTAATATGAAATTTTAGAACTATAAGCACATTTGAGGTCTCTAGTTAAGTAAACTCAAGTATTGGATAGTATCAGATAAATACCAATACATAGCCCATCAGCTGAAGCCCTGCTTAAAAATAAATAAATAAATAAAAGAAAGGAAAGAAAATTAGGTTACCTCTTATTTTGGTCTCTGTTCACAGTGCCACTTGACTATAGTATTTTGATTTTTGAGCCATATTTATATATCTTGACAAACAGAGCAATGAAATGGGAATTAACCACTTAGTGTTTCTTGTTTCTTCTAGGCTATAGGACTCTCTCCTAGAATTCATGGACCTATGTTGTGGTGTTATTTCTAGTGATTAACAGTTAGGAACCCAGAGCCAGAATCTCTGTAAAAATCCTAGCTTTTCCATGTGTACGCTGCTCCATTTTTTTTTTTCATCATCAAGTGACGTTGGGATGAGAACCACTTGAGGTTGTACATGCAACAGTGCCTGCTACATAGGAAATGTTTGAAAAATGTTATCTGGTATCTTTTTGTCTAATGAGTGAAATCAGAAGCTAGTATTTTAGAAGACTTGGAGTATTTCCGTGAGTTAGCAGTAACTCTGCAACAGCTTTTCTCCACACCCAGTTCTAATAAAGTATTGGCCTTTTCCACAGGTAAAGTCATCGGGCATAGTTATTCCATTATTTCTACTGTGGAGACCGAGAGCTGAGCTGGAAACTTTCTGACCAAATCTTCAAACTCAGACTTGATATCAACTTTACTAACTGAAGGTAAAAGCTAATTCTATTCATTTTAATATGAATTACTAATTATTAAAGCATAGAAAGTACAAATTATTAAAATGTCTTCTCCTCCATTCTCATCTCAGGATTTTGGGCATGCATACACATGCACCTAGTGTGAGTTCTAAGCCACAGGGTTCAGGACTCAAACTGTGGTTAGCCATATGGGAGTGCAGTGATGTAACCATTACTCCATCTGCTGGTCCCCTTCTTGACTTCTTAATTCTTTTTCTAACTACATACTCTTATTTCTTTGTTTCTTTGTTAACTGAGAGATAATGCATATGCCTAACAGTTGACCACTTTGAAGCATATCATTGCATGGTTTTTAATAGATTCACAAAATTATGTAATTATCAACATGATCTAATTCTTGAATATTTTCATCACCTTAAGGAAAAGCTTCATACCCACTAGTAGTTTCTGTCCATTCCCCTTTTCCCCACACCCCCTAGAAACTACCAATCTACTAGGATTTGCCCATTCTGGACATTCATATGCATGGAATCACATAGTTTGTGACCTTTTGCATCTGGTATCTTTCACTTTGGTCAAGTTTTCAAGATTCATCAGGGTTCACACATGTAGCATGTATTCATATTTCTGTCTTTTTTATGATTGAATAATACCCTGTTTTGGAATATACCACATTTTGTTTTTACATTCATCAAATGAGGAACATTCGAATTGTTTGTAGTTTGGAGTCATTTTGAATAGTGCTGATATGAATGTTCAAGTGCAGGCATCTGTGTAGACATATGTTTTCATCTTCGGTTCTCCTGGGTGTATACATTAAAGTAAAATTCCTGGGTCACAGGTTAATTCTAGGCTTAATATTTTGAGGATCTGACAAATCGTTTTCTGTATTTCCACTAACAATTTATGCACGTTCCAGTTTCTCCATATTCTCAACAATTGTATTGTCAGTCTTTTTCATTGTAACCATCCTAGTGTATACAATGTAATTACTTTTTTCCTTTTAAAAAAGAATTATTTATTTAATCTTACTTATTATTATTTTAATTTAACCAGAGAGAGACAGAAAGATAAAAGCAAGCCACTAGGTCCAGAACTCGAACTGTGGTCAGCCATGTGGGAGTCTTAACACCTTAGCCATCAAGCTACCTGCCAACTCCCAAAGTAATTACTTAATGTCTTGTTTCTGTTGGAAATCACTTCCTCTTGGGAACTTTCTGAGTCCCTTGAACTCCTCCCCTTTTCAGACTGTTTTAAAGATTCCTTCTATATGTTTCCTTAGCACCCTGTTCTTACCCTTATCACATCTTCTCACACTGAATTAGAATTGTCTGTTAACTTTATCCCCTCCATTAGGAGGGGAACCTGCTAGAGAGGGTACTAAAACATTTCCTGTGCTGTCTCCCAGGGTTAACACAATGTCTGACAGTTATTTAGTCTCTCTAGCTCCTTAATGGTTGATAGAGGACTTGCACACTAGACTTCATAGTGGTAGTATCCCAGTCTCTGAACGTCAGAAACATTTCTAAGTATTATTTGTTAGTTGATGTCTAGTTGTTAGAAAGAAAAGACAGGATTTATTAGCCTGAGTGTTTGATGTTCTAGAAACATGTTTTTTCTTTACTGTTAAATTAATGTAGTACTTATTTCTTAATTTACTAGTAAGTTGGAAAGAAAGGAAACAATGTCACCCTAAAAGGGGCCAACACTTGGGTCGCTTTAAAATTATAAATCAACTAACCATTTTATTTTGACCCTTTTCAAAGTATTACTGATTGAGAACTGCCTACTGCTCCTTTTAAAAATGATTCCAGTCACTTATAGGAGACTAAAGAAATTCCAGATGTAGATAGAGGTCAAGGACATTGTCATAAAGTCTATGGTCACTCGAAAATAATGGTCAATTCTTTTTTTTTTTTTTTTTTGAGAGATTTTCACTGTAGGGCGCGTGCGCTCGCCAGACAGACAGAGAGAGACATAGAGACAGAAAGCGAGAAATCACCCCCCAGGGGGGATGGTCACGCCGCAATCCTTTCTCCTCCATTCTCCTCTCGGGATCTTGGGCACGCATGCACATGCGCCCGGCATGAGTTTTAAGCCACCAGGTTCGGGATGCGAACCGCGGTCGACTATGTGGGAGTCCAGCGACATAGTCATTACGCTAACTGCTGGTGCCATGGTCAATTCTAATAGCAATTAGTTATAACTACCAGAAAGCCGAGATCATTAACATCAGAGTTGACCTGATATGGATCAATGCTGGGAATTAAAACTGGAAGGGGGTTAAACATAATTAAAGATTTACCATGTACATCGGAATTAAAGTGTGTCCAACTTAAGGTCAAATCATTAGGAAAGTCATGACACGTTTTTGAATAGAAAGACAGAAAAATACACCATGGCTTTCCCAATGATCAAATACGCCCTGTGTCTAAGCACAGATTAAAAGGCATATTTAATTAGTTCTTTTGAGCATGTCTGTCCAAGCATCCCTTTTTATTTATGTATTTATTTATTTATTTTGGAGAGCTTTTTGCTATAGGGCATGCTCACTCGCCAGAAAGAGACCGAAACTGAGAAATCACCCCTCAGGGGGATGGCCATGCCACAATCTCATCTCCTCTCTTCTCCTCTCGGGATCTTGGGCACACACGCACACGTACCCAGTGTGAGTTTAAGCCACCGGGTCTGGGACTCGAACCCCAGTCAACTGCATGGGAGTCCAGTGATGTATCCATTACACCATCTGCTAGTCCCATCTTTTTAATTATTATTTAGATCATTTTGTTTCCTATTTATTATTTATGATCTCAGAAAGATGTGTTTTAGCGTTTAAGATTTTTTTCTTGATGGAGATAAAGGGAAGCTTGTAGGAGAAAGCCACTCCCCTGTTGGTCAGCATTTCCGGTGAATTCTTGGGAACTCTATCCGGCTTCTCCACTATGATTTTATGTTTCTGGAGCAAAGAGGAAGTGGGGAAGGGCAAGAGAAAGACACAAATGTGATTTGGCCCTGGCTCCATGAGATAGTATCAGATGAGGCCACATGGATTTGGCGGGTCATTTTCTCAGGTTTCTCTGAACAAGCACAGACTGTTACTCAGAATACCTCTCACCTTGCTTCCTTCTCCTAAGTTTTTCTTTGGTTTCAGTAACAAACTTTAGCTTTAAGTAGGAGCCAGGATGAATATGGAGAAATGGCTCTTGTTTTTGCTGTTGTTTAATGTGTGCATATATGTAGGAGGGGGATTTCCCAGTGAGGGCTTGGTTGGTGAAGCTACCCTGTAGGCACAGGAGTGCACATGCAGTGGGGCGAAGGCTGCCAGGTGGGTGAGCTTTGGATTCTGCACTGTGGACTCTGTGGTCTGGATTTGAATCCACATTTTGACCCTTGGCAGTTGCATGACTCTGGCAAGTTTCTCTTTAAGAGTTTAGCTTTCCTTATATATAAAATAGGTATATTCAGTTTTACTTTATACTGCCATGATAACAGGTGAATTTAGTGACAGCGGCATTCCGTAAATTGTAACTATTTAAAAATATACTTTAAAGCGGTAGTTCAGTTATTCCTAGGATAAAACACTTTAAAAAAAAAAAAACAACAAATATTCTGGGACCAGCAGTTGGCATAATGGCTTTGTCGCTTGATTCCTGCATAGTTGACTGCGGTTCGAGTCCCAGACCCGGTGGCTTAAACTCACACTGGGTACGTGTGCGTGTGTGCCCAAGATCCTGAGAGGAGAATGGAGGAGAAGGGATTGTGGCATGACCATCCCCCCTGGGGGTGATTTCTTGCTTTCTGTCTCTTTGTCTCTCTCTGTCTTTTTGGAGAGCGCACACGCACTATAGCAAAAACCTCTCCCCCAAATAAATAACAAAATAAATAAAATATTCTTTTAATGTCATTTCGTTCTCACGTTCTGTTTAGGTGTGATGGATAGCTGTATTTCCTTGCTTCCTTTATGTAATCATGATAGAAGCAGAAAGAAAGCCTTGCACAAGGGAGCATGTGAGTTAGTCCAAATAACATAGCCCAGACCCACGTGGTGATGCGTATGTGATGAAAGTTCGTCAAAGCTGAGTGGGAGCAGAGGCGATCTGATACATCTTATTTCTTGCGGTATTGCCTCACTGCAGACGACTGAGAATTAGCCTTAACACAAAAATCCATAGATGCGCAAATACAACATATGCATGAACAGAAACGTACATATAAACACCTACTCTAAATATATATCAAAATACAGATGCTATATAATCTTCCAAAGAGTTCATGCCTATTATTATTTTTTAAAATTTATTTATTTCTTCCATGAGTGACAATGAGACAGAGAGAGAGGGAGCCCCCGCAGTGTCTTGATGCCGCAATCTGATTGACCCCCGCTTCAGCCGCCTGTTACGGTGGGCAGGTATGGGTCTGGCGCAGTCAGGGAGATCTTCAGACACAAACCCAGACCTACGCTGTGTGGGTCATCCTTGCAGCATGTCCTGTTTTACCACCAGGCTACGTTCTGGTCCCCCCATTGCCATTACGTCTTAAAAAACTTATATTTCAAGTACTCTTAGGTCGTAAGAAAATGCTAATGTCATAATGAGATCCCACGAACTGTTCACCTGTCACCAGATGTCCCCGGTGACAGTGTCCTCAGTAGCCACGGTAAGTTGTGAACACCAGGAAGTGGACAGTGGCCATTGACGCTTCCAGAGCTTTAGGCTTTCGAGCAATGTTTCTTTAGGTTTTCGCAGTAGGGCACATGTGCTTGCCGAAGAGAGACAGAGGGAAAGTGAGAAGTCACCCCCCCAGTGTGTGTGGGGCAGGGACGGCCATACCACACCTCCTGCTCCATTTCCTCCTGGGGTTTTGGGTCTGTAGGTCATGCGAACCTGCCTGGCGTGATTTTCTCTTCTTTTTCTTTTTCTTTTTCTTTTCTTTTTTTTTTTTTTTTTGAGAGGATTTTGCTATAGGGCATGGGCTCACTAGAAAGACAGAGAAACAGAGAGACAGACTGCTGT